TTGCTGTTGCTGCCGGTGCTAACTCTTGGCAGCTGCTGCTGCGCCAAAAACTGACCGACAGCCTTCTGAGCAGCTCGAGATTAGGCCTTGCATTATCCTTTTACCTAGAGCTAGGACCCAGCTGAGCTGAGCCGGGCTGGGCACTGAAAGAGGGAGACAGGGAGAGAGGGAGCTGCTGCTTGATCTTAGACAGGGCTTAGCATGCTAGTAAATACACACACAAACGCACACACACAGGGTCAAATCCCTTGGCCACTGGACACACAAACCAATTAGGGAACATCGTCTAAGGAGGACAAGAAGCGTAGGCACGCCAAGGAGGGCTGAAGAAGAGCCGGCCAGGGTGATCAGCCAGCTATGACCCTGAGAAAGTTGTGGCTAGCAAACTTAACCGCAATCATTACACACACACACACACACACACACACACAGAGAGAGACATGCAAAGACTCTCATAGACGCCCACAAGCCGAGTTGAGGATGTGTCTGTCGTGTCCTGTGCCGCACGTCTAATTGTCGGAAGTGCAACTACTTAGAGTCTGCCTGCCCTCTGACTACGCGCTTGGCTGCGTCGCGTCTTTAAGTCTTCAAGTCTTCAAGTGTTCAAGTGTTCAGGTCCGAGCCGAGCTGTTCAGCTACACCTCAAGTTAATTGCGACACTTAGTCGTGATAAGGCAGTTGCGATAAGGCGCACTAGACCCATGCAGGGTAAGGGACGCACAGCTGTCCTGCAGCCAAGGCGTGTTGCATGCAGCGTCTTAGGCGACTTAGCTAAGATTTGGCATTGTCTGCGCTGCTTGTAAGCCCCTTTTCCACAACAATCCTTTTTTACATGTTTTTTTAATGCTGGCATGGCCCAGAGCAGGACTTGGCTCATATTTTTACGCCTTGCCTAAGCCATAATTGAGCTGTCGTCAAAATATTTGCTCCAGCTTCTCTGACTACCTATGCAAATCGCCTTTGCTGCATGCGCATATGTTTATCTACATATACATATTTGTGACATATGTATATGCATATCCTTACAAATATTTTCATGTCTCGAGTCAAAATAGCATTCGGTTTATAAGCCTCTAACCCTTTAGATTTATGAATCGGAATCATTTGTTGCCATTCGATTTTTCATTTCTCATTTTTCATCTTCATTTTTTTATGCAAATTATTCTAGGGGTAAGCACAGTCACAGTAACAGTCACACTCACCATCACCATCACCATCACCGTCATACTCACTGGCAGTCAGTCAGTCCGTCAATCAGTGCTGTTCAGGTAAGTCCATTAAGGTGTTACACGGCAACAATCCTTGTCGAGTAATTACGGGCTTGTTAGCTATGGTTGCAATAACATTTCTTTCGCCTTCTTTCCCTTGTCGGGTGCAGCATTTCTTTGTACGTGGGAAACGTTTTTTATTTTTTTTTTTTACCATTTTGGCCTTGTCCCTGAACATCATTTATGAGTGTTTGCACGTAAACAAAAGGATCATCCGATCAGCAGGCTCTGCGCCAGAATGAAATCGACAAAAAATGCTAAATAAAAGATCAGTTGTCAATCAAGGCGCACAACATTTCCATATCGACCCTCATATTGCATGGCTAATTACTTTATTCGTTACATCCGACAAAAACTCTCGCGATGTCCTCTCCTGGCCTGCCCTGTCCTGTCCCATCCTCTATGGTCCTCTCTTCGCATAATTTGAATTTAATATGCTTTTAATGGGCCCATTGGGAGATCCTACAAATTTTAGATTAAAACTCTTCAATTAGCTAAACGCCAAAGATACATGGATAGAGATACATGCGTTCATAGAGAGGAACTCCCTAATTACACTGAAGACTAAACATTTAATTATGAGTTTCCCTTCTCCAGGCTATTCTTCTATCTGAATGTTTTGCTGTTTTTCAAGAACTTCGGGTGTTATGTATAAATGAATTACCAATAGGTAAAACAAGTATCAGTTATCCTGTATTCAAATTTAGTTCTAAGCATTCAGCATTCTTTAGCAAACTTAATAGAAAAACTCTAAAAGCAATGAAAATTTCACGTAATAAAAAAGTCTAGATGAGAGAGTTCGTGGAAAAAAAACGCTCGCAGATATAAAAACTACCCGAAAAAATAAGAGCTATAATATGATTTAGTGGAAATAATATTAAAGCACTTTGAGAAAAAAGAAATCTTCTTAGATAAAAATGTCTTACTCAAGGAACTTCCGAAAAGAACTTCAAATAAACAATCTTATAAAAAAAATTTAATGTTCAATCATAAGAAATTGGTAAACTAACAACATACCAAAAAAAGGAAATTCCTACATAAGTTAGAGATGTTATCAATAAGAAGGTCTTGAGCATAATGTATAAGCGTTTAAAACAAAATCTTTCAAGAAAATAAAGTTCCAAAAACATCCAAGTATAAGGATTTTTAGGAAATATGGTCTCTGAATGGAAATAGATACTTCAAGTAATAGAAGCTGCTGAAAAAGTAAAACCTCCAGTTGCTTTATTTCAAGCATAAGTAGAGCTCAGAAATTACAACAGATCGAATGCTAGAAATTTCATTTCAACTGTAACAAGTCTTAAACTCCAACACAAATGGATCGTATCAGGAACTCGATACCAAAGTTTGATACAGCAATTGAACAGTTCAAAATAGACATTTCCAATTACTATATGATAGGACGGGACAATTAACTACCCCCTAGGCAGGGGCAGAGCAGCCGTGGACTAGTGTAGTGCAACTAATTAGACGATATCGCTTAAAAAATAATAGAACGAGTCTATTCGAAATGGGAACGTAATCGATCGCGGCACGTGCATCAATGTGAAATTAAGAAATTACGAACAGGCCGGGCTGTAGTAGGTGGACGGGGTGGTAGGGGGCAGCAATTAAAATGTTTACCAATCGCTCACAGAATATGGAATGAAGAAGAAGAAGAACTTAACCATAAACTGTCGCAATATCAATAAACCGGAGAGCTGGACAACAGCAGGACAATCAATTGAGATAGGCAGGGCAGGGGTGGTACAGAGACGGAGAGAGAGAGAGCGAGTGAGGGAGAGAGAGAGAGAGAGAGAGAGAGTAAGGGAGGGGGAGTAGCGTCAGCTGGACAGGATAATAGTAGCAGATCGCCGTGTAGAACAATTTAATGCAATTAGTGCGATATGCGACGACGATGCGACAGACGAGTGGACGGACGGGCGGACGGACGGACATACGACTACACAGATAGCAGGCCAGAGAGACGACACAGAACGAGATCGACTGTATACACATACACATATATAATTACGTAATTACATGGCGAGCGATATGCAACGCGTGTCAAGGGTTCGATGTGGGTGCAACAGCAGCAGCAGCAGCAGGAGCAGGAGCAACATGCCACATGCCTGTCACCTTCATTTGCAGCATGTCACACGCACACACACACACACACACACACATATATATATATATACATGTATGTAGAATCATCTACTCTCTGCTGATTAATGATATTAGCTAATCCCATTAGCCGTTGCCCTGGCCCCATGCAAAATCAAATGCAATCAACCGCAATAATCGCGCACGTGAAAAAATAGAAAATCGAAAATACCAAAAAAAAAAAATTGCAAATTTCGAAAATCGAGTGAGAGAAAAAAAAACATTAGCAGCTAATGCGGCAGAGCGTTTTTAACCACCACCAAAACGCCCCAAGCTAATCGCACTTTTTCCCATACATTGAGAGGTAGAGGGAGAGTTTGCTCTATGTGGATGGCAAAGGCAATGGCAATGGCGATGACGATGTGTTAATTTCATTTGATTGACATGTGTCCATGTCCAGGCTGCTGCTCTGTTTTAAGTTAAGAAAACCCAAAAATCAAAAAGACAACAACTACAACAACAACAGCAGCAGAAATAAGAGCATAAAAATGAAGAGATCAAGAAATTTGGTGAGGCACGGGTCCCATCTGACGAATGTCATGTTCAAATCTCAGCCTTATCAACATATGTTGTCTAACCCCCACCCCTACCCAGTCATCTCGTGCCATCCCATGCCAGGCCACACCAAAAAAACCAACTACACTCATTTCCATTCCCATTCCCATTCCCATTGACATTCCGATCTGGTTCTGTCCCGTACTTGTTATTGCGACAGTTTTCTCTTATTTTTTGTCGAGATGACATCGAACGGACATGTAACTGTCATATGATAATGCCCCGAACATGCTTATATGCATACATATATCATCAAAAACTGTCTAGATCTCGATCAGCTCCTAACAGGAAAAACAAACAAACCGGAACAAAAATCACTCCAACATGCAAATGCTTCAGTACTCATTATAATTGAATTATCTTTGTAATACTTACTGAAAACTAAAGTGACTCAGAATTGGCTGTCCCTGTTTCCCAGCCATATCATCAAGTAGCTGGCCAACGGTTCCTACAGCTATCAACTCGAATATATACTTGGAACTTGCGTTCCTTAAGCTTGTATAAGGTGGACAGGCGGCCAGCTAGTAGGCTCATATCAAATATAAATGAACCATTCAAGATTCTCTCTTATTTTCATTTTCTATTTTCATATGAACTTCTGCTAACGTAACCCTTTCAGCTTTACCTGATTCTTCATGTTTAATGTTTCTCTGATTTCTAGTTAATCTTATGCTCAACTCTTTAAAGTTTCTCCCTCTTTTTTAGTTAGTCTTAATATGAATAACTCTTTCAAATTTCCCTGTCATGCTAATTTTGTGAGGATTCTCTCTTATTAATAACTCGTAATTTTCAATAGCTTTGCCAAGCTTTTCCCTCATTTCTTTGCTTTATAACAATTATTTCTAGGGAATTGCATATATGTATATGCTTCTTAAGATTAAGATTAGTAAAGCTAAATCTTATCGCAAAACTTTCTCGCTTATTCCAATATGTCTTGCATTAGCTTTTTATATAACTCAATAAAGTCTATGAATTAAAAAGCTCTTCAAAGTTTATAATTCCTCTTAAACTTACTTAACTCATTAAAGCTTCTCCTTCATTTCATACCTTTCGAGAAATTTTGACTGATATATGTACATACCTGTTCTTCAAGCCTTTTGAGTACATGTGCTTAGGTAGATATCTTTTCTTTAAGTAAATAGTGTCTTTTATATACTTTCCCTGCTTCATCTGCTTAAACTTCGCTTTTCTCTATTTTATAGATCTGAAGTTTAGGGAGCTCCTAAAAATTTATCTATTGATTAAACTCACAGATTTGTTGCTCTAAGATTCATGTTTATTTTGAAATGATCTTTTTTATCATTTCTTCAAGAAACTCTTTAACGAGTCTTTTCTCTCTCTCTCTCTCTCTCTCTCTCTCTCTTTCTTATTGCATTTTCGCTATGCAAACACGATTCAAACTTTATCTCTTGAGTTGAAAAACTTCTTCAAAGTTTCGCTTGCACCTCGAAGCTTCTCAAGTCATTTGTCCTCTTAGGCTTGAGTACCTTCTTAAGGTTTCTTTGTCCATAGATAACCAATGTCTGATAATGCATAAACCGGCAAAAAGTGAGCACCAAACTCTATGATATGCTCAAGGGTTTGCCCTTTAGACGTAGACCCCCCTCGACCTCACACTCTCTCTCGCCGAGTGCTCAATCTGTCAGATCGCTCATGAATTGTGTAATTTAAGATGTTCGCGCTTCATGAGGACATTTAAAGTTCGTGAATTGTGAAAATTACCCGATTCGATATGCGCGAAAATTGTGCAACGAAGCCAACAAATATTTTGCATGGCTCAATCTTCGATTGCCATTTGGGCTGCAGCAGACCCTACTCCTCTCTCTCCCTCTCTCTCTCTCTTTCTCTCTTGTCGGTCTCMTTACCCCCTTCGGGCAAGTTGTGACAGAACGAAAGGTAGCGAAATGCGTTGCATTTTAATCGCTCGTCCTTGCCCAAAAATAGAGAAAAAGGCTGCTCCTTTTGCAGCCTTTCGTCGTCGTCGTCGTCGTGTCATAAGTGTGTGAAAAATTGATAGACTTGTCATGACCCGGCCCAGGTGGGGTGGGTTAGACGACAGCCGTCCCGTCGCTCCGACGTCGTCGTCATCTTCGTGCTGTCCGCCTTTTTGTATGGCAGCGCACATAAAATTGCATAAATGTCAGGCGACTGTCATGACAACCTCTTGTAAACGCCCCATAATTTTTATTATTAATGACATCAACGCATTATTATCGAACACCCAATGGCCCATCAATATTTTTAACTCTTGCTGAGCACATTTTCGTTCCGTTCGCTTCGAAGTTCTTCGAGCTCTCCTCATTAGGCGAGACGGCTGCTCTACTCTTGCCCATTCGAGTGCAAATGCCTGCTCAAGTTGAAATTTCGACACATTTTTAGTTTGTCTTATACTATTTCGAATTTCACATTGACCTAGATACTATTCTGGCTGCTGTTGCCAACAATCTGCCTTAAATTCTAAAGCGTATAGAAGCTTAAGCAAAGTCTGATCCATCTTGAGCTTCAACTGATTAAGCAACCCATTTGAATTTAGCTGGATTTCCAAACAATTAACTTTACGAGCTTAACAGTAATTTGAGTTGCTGATATTTAATACCTGTACAACGATTTCCATTACGCTTCGTACAGAGTATTCTGCAGTCGAGAGTACTCTACTGTACTAGTCTACTCACAGTTAGACTGTAAACTTATTTGTAAAACGTAAATTCGTATGGATAGATTAACCCTAAAATATTTATACAATTGATATGTATGCAATTTTAAAAAATATATATATTTACTCAGGAATAAAGCAACAACATTCTTAGACTACATAATACACTCTTATGGCCTGTTAATTGTTACAGCTAACTAAACTAAGTTAGCCGGTGCGACCAAATGCGTAGAATTTTGATACTAAGATCAAGAAGGGGTTTATTGTGTACCCCGTATATCCTATTATTCGTAGAATATAGATAGAAATTCGTAGAATTCAGGTCTCTCAGAATAAAATCATGAGATTGGCTACTGGCTGCGAATGGTATATTAGAAACACCACATTACATCGAGACCTGATATTTGCCATGCTCTTTAACGAATTTAACCAGCACTCGAGTCGGTACAATGACAGATTGGAGCGGCACAGAAACCGGCTGGCAAACATGCTCACTAGAAACCGAACTTAGGAGGCTGAACCGAAGGCAACTAAGGGACTCGATTCTACGATCTCCTTTTATTATACTCCTTCACGAAAGTGAATCAGTATATTGGTTTTGTGCAATGTCCGTCTTGCTGTCCGTCCGTCTGTCCGTCCGTCCGTCTTTCCGTCTGTCCGTATGAACGCAATCTATTTCGGCGCTATTGAAGCTAGAGACTTGAAATGTGGAACACATACTCGTGTCTCCGATTTATAAAGTTAAAATTTTCCCGATCCGCCCACTAGGGGCGTGGCAAATCGGAAAATGCATTTTCCGATATACCAGAAATCATGTTTGTTGAAGAGCTAGAAAGCTGAAATTTGGTATGTAGGTCCGCGCCGATCACCCAAGATCACAAGCTATGGCGGATATATCTCCGCCCATTAGGGGCGTGGCAAATCGGANGTACAGATTCAGCGCTTAAAATAAATATACAAAAAAAAAAAAAAAAAAAAAAAAAAAAAAAAAAAAAGTTAGGGTATCTCGTTCTAAGAACGCCCACTAGGCCCACTAGGTCGTGGCAAATCGGAACAAACTGTATTTTCTACAGTATTAGAGCGAAACTTAACTACTAAATTGTTGATAGGATGTGAATGAGTCGGTAACGCCCGACTGCAACGTTCTTACTTGTTTTTATTTTATTTTTATATATTCTTGTAAATACTTGTAAATTGGGCAGAATAATTAGACAATAAGCTCACAAAGGGGTTACTGGGGGTTATCTAATATGGCTTCAATAAAAATTATTGTCATTTAAAAACTCAAAACTCACTGCCTACTTTTTGGGTTTTTATATAAACAACGCTGCAGCTGCATTGCAATGCATTAGAGTAATAAAATGCTGCATACTTTTAAGCGCGCGCAAAAACAAACGAGTGTGGCAAATTGTAGCATATTTCCTGGGGCAAATATTGACTGACGTGAATATAGCTCTGAATAGACAAGACCCCAGTAGCTTCGTGTGCTTTATTTATGTTACTTACATTATATTTTGCTTTTATATTAATTATAACGACTAATAAATAAGTAAATAAGCTGTGAAGAGAGCAATGTATATATATTATATCATAAGCTTTCTAGCTGACTAGCTCATGTCACCAGGTAGAGTGACACGTGTATATGTCTGTCTCAATATACTTATCTGTATATTTCTCTCTCAGAAAGAGAAAATCGAGTATTCTATACCCTGTAACTCCCATCACTTTTGCTCTGTGTCTGCCTTCTATATATCTACCCTCTCTTTCCATGTTCATGCCTATCTCTATCTCGCTCTATTTGATAATCGCCGATTTCATTCCAATTTTCCCATCCAGGAAATTCACATTGTTTTTTTTTTTTTTAGCAAAAAAAATTTATTTTTAATATTCATGTTAGATGTTTTTTTTTTTCTTGATTTTTGATTTGTCTTTAAACTAAACCGTTTGACTTTCCTTCTCACTCTCTTTCGCTGTCGCTCGTTCTCGCACTGTCTTTCATTTCATACACTTCTCTTTCTATCTGGTATTTACAATATTCAGTTAACATATTATTAGTTAGTTATACAATACAATACAATTAAACTGATTAAAATACATAAATAGATGTTTATCTCTTAAATGTTTTTAATTAAAACAAAAAAAAAAACACTGATTTAAATAATTTAAGATACGGTTGCAAGCACGACAGGCCGATGCTTTCAATGGACTCTCCCCGCCAAAATATGATATAGTCTATATATACACACGATCGTGGGCGCAATTCGAAGAGTTTGCTCATCCTTGGGAGGGGGGAAATCGTATGAAAATTGCAATAGAAAAGCATTTTGCTTGCTTCGCTCCTATGACCGCCTAGATTCTATTTAGATTATGTTTACATAGATTTAGCTTTGGTTACATTACTTTTTGCATGTTTTTTTTTTTTTGGTATTTTCTTTGTATTTTTGGTATGCCTAAGTAAAAAAAATATGTTATTTGCATTTGTGTTGGAAAGAAGTCGTTAGAATAATACATTGATTATATGTAAATTGTTATATAGCTGGTATGTGCTGTATATATATGAAAACACATATATACATATGTATATAGAGACACTATGCAACATATGCAAGAGAGTAAAACACAAAAATACTTGCAGACATTAGGAATGAAAATGGAAATGAAAATGAAAATATAATTTTTTCAATTCAAATACAAGAGATCAATGTTTTATCATTTCATTTAAGTAAAGCTAACAAAATGGACAAACACAAAACGAAAAACGTGTTGCATAGTGTTCTGTTCTTTTTATACCCTGAACCCATTGAAAATGGGAAATCAGGGTATAATGGATTTGTTAAATGTATGTAACAGGCAGAAGGAAGCGTGGCAGACCCCATAAAGTATATATATTCTTGATCAGGGCGACGAGCTGAGTCGATTTAGCTCTGTCCGTCTGTCCGTCCGCCCGTCTGTCCGTCCGCCCGTCTGTCCGTCTGTCCGTATGTTTGAACGCGTCGATCTCAGAAGATATAAGAGCTAGAGACAATTTTTTTTTCCTAGGTCCGTGTACAGCACGCGCATATTGAGTTTTGCTTTAAATATCGATAAATTTCTCCGTTATTTTGTTATCGATTAAAAACATGATCGAAAACCAGTAATAAATTTATATCTCCTACATCTTTAAAGCTAGAGTCTCCCAATTTTAAATGTATACTTATATGCATTTTATACAATTTCGGGTTTTGACAAAATTTACGCCCACCCCTAATTCACCCCCTCACCCTCACATTTGTAAAAGGCGTATTTCAAATACTAGGGACTTGTGCTTTGGAAAATACATGCATATCCATGTTATAATCATAATCTGAAAGTTTCTGAAAGAAGTACATCCACAAGAAAAGTTATCAAACAATTAAGTTCCCATAGTAAGCCACCACTGCAGCCAATGCGTGTTTAGGCGTGTGTGTGTTAGTGTGCGTGTGTATGATGTGTGTGTCTATGCTTGTGTGTGTGTATGCGCGTGTGTGTGTGCGTGTGTGTGTGCGTGTGTGTGTGCGTGTGTGTGTGTGCGTGTGTGTGCCTTGCGTAAGCAGAAAGACGCTAAAAATGATTGAAACAGCTATTGCTCGAAGGGTTCAGGGGATCGCGTAGTCGGGCACTCTCGACTAGAGCTTTCTTACTTGTTTTTCCTAATTAATTTTTTTTTTTTTTGGTATGTGTGTTGCCTAAGAAGAAAGTCTCGATCGTGCATGTCATAAGTAAAGTATTGCTAGGCACCCATCTATATATACATATATATATGCTATATATATATACATATATATTTATAGAAAGAGAGAGACCTACAGGGTCTTCAGCATGGGCGCCTTGCCGCTGGCGCTGCTCTTGTACGTCTCGTAGGAGGCACTGGCCGCATGCAGCTGCGCGTAGCCGGAGCTGTTGGCGACAGCGGCTGCCACAGCCTCGGCGCCATTGACCACCGTTGGGGTAATGGGCTTGTGGGGCTTGTAGCGCTGCAGCACCTCCGCGGAGGTGAGTTTGAAGGTCTCGATCATTTGACTACGCACGCGCTCCATTAACTGATCGATGTCGTTCTTGGTCAGGCCCTCGGTGCTAACCGGCGGCAGCGTGGTTATCACTATCCGGCCGGCATTTAATATCTTCTTCTTGTCATTGAGGAATGTGCAGTAGGAGCTGAAGACAACCGGCAGTATGGGTATCTGCTGGTCGATGGCCATGTGAAAGGCGCCCTTCTTGAACGGATGCAGTTCACCCGTGTTGCGGCGCGTACCCTCCGGGAATACCCATAGCTTAATGCGTTGCTCCTTGATACGACGATTGACGGCGTTCAACGTGTCGCGTGCCTTCTCGCCGCGCACCCGATCGATGAATATGAGCCCGGCCAACCAGGCAGCCAGTCCGAAGGGCCAGGCGTAGAACAGCTCCCGCTTGGCCACCACCGTGCACTTGTTCATCACATGCCAGATATTAAACATGCCTGCAAGGGACATATAGACGATTAGCTCAAATAGCATGATCAAATATATATATATGTATATAGATTACCCAGCACATCCAGCGAGCTCTGATGATTGGCCACGATAATGCATGCGCGATCCTTCTCCAGATGCTCCTTGCCTCGCAGCTCCCAGCGCAGTCCAATCAAAGCTGTGACACGATGACACCAGGTGCTAGCCCAGCTGAAAGTGAGAGACTAGTTAGTTTCTGTTCGAAAGGCTGCATTCATGCGAATCGCAAAGAGAGGTCAATATTATAAATATTGATAAGAGCGCAGCACTTCTAAGAGTGGCATCCCTTATTGAATGTTGTAAATCTTATATGCAGAGCAAACAAAGATTTCAGATTTGCTCTACGAACAACACTCGACTCGAGTGGCATTTGAAATCTCAGTCTGGGCCGAGCCAGTTCAAAATTCGATTTAACAAAATTATGCACTAAATAGGGTGGGCAAATTGGAGGCAAGTAAGTAAAGAGATGAGTTCTGCATTCAGTTGACTTGCAGTCGGCTTTACGATGGGCCCGAATCTATCAGCAGAATGCCCACTCCAACGTGGGAGGCGTCAAGGATCATCAAGAAATCGAACAAGAGCAGCATATTTCCGGATGATGGGAGACGTCGACCGCAAACGTTTGTGCCGCCATCGGAACGGAGAGCGGAGCGTACGCAAATGTCTCTCTTACTTGGTTGGGAGTACGGACGGGAATGGCTGGCGGCGCGCGATGAGGCCCGGCGTCACGATTCCATCAGGTCACCACAGCGGTTTATTGAACCCGACTACAACTGGTGGCTCAAGAAGCGTTCGACTACGCTGGATCGCCGGAAACTCTACACACGTTCGCGTACCCCCCAAGCGAAGACCTACATGCTGTCCGCATTCGAAACGTCCAGGACGCAGCGCCAGGATCAGAAACAGCTGCAGCTGCTTCCCGAACCGGGCACAGCTCACGACATCCAGTGCGAGTGTGCCAACTGCAAGCAGAGCCAATGTCGCACCGCCTCGAAAGACCAGACTCCAGCTCCAGCTCCAGGCAATGCCCGGCAAAYCTAAAGTGAACGGGATTTTACGAATTGAATCAGACATGACAAAGGTAAAGTGCGGCAAGAGATGTTTTCCCATGCTAGGCTAGTTTTATATAACAGCGTTGCCACTTGGTCATAGCAGTCACATGTGGCAACAAATTTAATAGATCTTCTTGAGAATATCTATCTACGATTTCAATATTAGATCAACTTGACTGGCAGCGTTGCCACCTAGTTATATTTGACACCAAAAATCGTTTGTAAGCTTCGTTCATGGCCTGCTTGACCCTGCTTGATCAGGATATTTGCTATGCTTGTTCCGCGGCGTTGCCACCTAGTCAGAGTGTAGACATATGGCAACATCAGTAAAGCTTATAGATGCATCTATTTGCTTACCTAATTGCCACCCAGTACTTATTTTATTCACATTCAGACCCAATATAAAACTGCGAAAAGTTCAGTCAGCTTTAATTGATAATTGATTTTTAACTTTTGACCAGAAAATGAGAAAACGTCGCCACAAACACCAGCAAAGAAAAACGAGCAGACAGGCAGACCAATAATGTGTTTAAATTTTTTCCCCCAGGTTTTTTCCCCGCTACAAAAATGGATACCAAAAATATACACAATTTTTTGGCATCTAGTCATAAGGCGATTCTCTATCGAGAAGATCACCGAGTGCTGTGCAGCTGCCAAGGTCGCATACCGAGCGGATTAAACGGTCTAAATTATCGCAGTGTATTGGGTGATCTGAACCTTGCTCCCGATCCCCAATCCTCGATTCAATTGATATTTGACATATTTCTTATATGCAAATTCTACTTTGAAAATTAAAGACTATCTATCAATGTTTATTTCTTACGTTTTTCATTTGAATTTCAATAGTAGTAATTACAAGGTTACAATTACCATACATATGGATCTATATCCATATGGGGTATATGCGTACATGTGTGGATATATGTATGTATAATTTTGCTAGCAGTTGTGCAACAATTAAGCCCACTTGGGTCACAAATCAAACATAGCTACAAATATGTTGAATAGTCGACGTTTGAATACTCCGCACCCCAAATAATATTCTATTTACAAGAAAAATCCAACAAAAACTCTATCTTTCTCTTTCGTCTTCTTGTGTTCTCTGTCGATGCTTTTTCTTTTATTCTCTGCTTTTTGTTTCTCGTTAATTCGTTTTCTGTTCTTTTCTTTACATTATTTCTTGATTCGTCTATTTTAATTTTGTTTACTGCTTTTCCTTAACTTGATTTTCTATCGGTCTTTTCACTTGTATTTCCTTCCATTGTCTCTTCTCTCGTTCATACTCGTTTCTTCCCTTTTCTGCCCTTTGCTTGCATCTCCCGTTTCCATTTTCGTCTTTTCAATTATCTCTGCTTCCATTTTCTTTTATTTTCATTTTACTATTCTCTTAGATTCTTAACTCTTCTCTCTTGCTTTCTTTTATTCTATTCTCAAACAACCTTCTCAAAATCAGAACAATTTTTATAAAGGTTCTATTGATTGCTTCTACCTATGAATATACTATTTGTTTGCCTTGAACAATTATCTATTTAATATAGCTCTATCTACTATATAAGCACATATGCTCAAATTGTATCCAAAACAAAACCTCTTAAGTGGACCTACGAACTTTTCGATCGATAAGGAACTTAACTCGACGTTTATGAAATTAGAGAGAGCCACAGATCGAAACAAACAAGTTATATAACAGTAAAAATCGGTTTAATTGAGCCACACTATAAACACCCCATAAAAAAAAGAAAAGAAAACAAAAACAATATCCACTCATTGCGTGATAATAAAATCATAAATTGGACCTAGGCACGCACAATTAGGCCCAATATGAAAATGTATATACTCTATATGTCTTTAATATTGAAAGGGTGCTACTAGCATATAGATACAGTATATATACATACATATAACGTTATTATTTTGGTTTGGAATTTCGTTCAATTTGCAGCTGATGCATTTTGATTAAATTTTCAGAAATATTCATTAAATATAAGTAGAGAAATGTCAAATTTGTGTGAGAGCGAGCGACACAGGAGGTGAGAGAGAGGGTAAGAAAGCGAGTGTCAACAACGCGAGACATTGAACAGCTAATCGGGCGACCTCGCCAAGTCGCCCGTTGGCTTTAGCGTGAGAACCTGCAAGAGCTCACCTGGGCCAATGTGTTGGCACGTGTCATTCGCGCACCACCTGCATACCAGTCAACGTCCTTCACACACACACACACACTCATAGCTTAGGCCTTATTCAAGTATGGTCAACCCATAGATGTTAGCTGAGGCGAGTGCCAGCTCCACTGGGGGCCAATCATTGCAGCTGTCTACTTCGTAAATATTGATGGCTCATCAAGCGGCCAACTACAAAATGCGTCAAAAGGCCATTCACATAAACAAATAAATCAGAGCTACAATAAGAAGGGAGTGTGAAGAGTGCAGAGTTTGCTTCAGTTAATAGTGACTCACCTAGACTCTTAACTAAATTCGATTGATTTTGCATTCATATTTCATACAATCTTCATATATATTGTACATAATATATATATATGTATATATGTATAGAATGTATACCTATATTACCATATACCATATGATGTTTGTTTTCCTTTTCACCTTTTATTCTTTATCGATTTGGTGGCCGTAAAAACAGCTCAATAATGTGTTGAATTTTTGCATTTACATATTTTACTCGCTCATCAACTAAAAGGAGTATATTGGCTCTATGCAATATCACATCGAGCCGAAGCTCATTTTCTGAATCTGAATTATAAATTTGATACCTCGAGTGTTCAACTCTAGGTAAGGTGCTCCGGCCTTCAAATACGCCCATTATGTACGGGTTCGCACGGGACCCAAAATTATATAGCATATACTACTCCCTTTTGGAGGCGTGGCTGATTGAGAGAAGCTTTAGTGTCTAGTTAGAAATTCTAATTTTGAAAGCCCACTCTTCTTGACCTCCCTATTTAAAACATATATATATATATCTACATACATACATATACATATCTACATACGACCTTTGAGGGAGTGTCCAATCCGAATCGGATATACCTAGCTAATATCATTATAAACGCTTCGTCTTTAAGAGGCTTTCAAGTTTCTTATTGAAATGAAACCTAGATTATTAGTTAAATTCTTTAAAAACAAAAACAAAAATA